TCTAGCCTGGCCCTGATACCTAATCTTAATGAGGTTCTGCCTCGACCTTCTCAAATTGGAAAAAAAGAATAGAAACTTGCTCCTCTTTAAGAATCGGCTCCCTGTTAAAGCCACCATGTTTCACTTAAACAGATATATATAATTTGTTGTTTCCGTTTCTTCATTTTTCTGGCTTCTGTTTTCATTTTGTTTAAGTTTTTATTTTTTAAATTAATGTTAAACCAAAAGTATAACTTATTTTCTGTGTAAAAATTAGTTTTTATCGTTTTCAATAAAAAATTAGTGGGGAAAAACCTTTTACAAATATAATAAATAAAGCTACAAACTTCTTGTAACAATTATTCTGTGGAATAAATTCAGGCAAACCTACAACTCTTTATAACCGTGATAAAATAAACAAAACAAAAAAGAACTAATGTTGGATGAAGCTAGCAGGCAGAGTTGGTGGTTCAGCTAACACTTATCTAACTGCTTTTTCCTATTTTGATGTTTGTAGAAACGGTTTAAATGAGCTTTTAGCTTTCAGATTTGTGGTCTAGACTTTGACTAGACCAAAGCTTCTCTGGTTGTCCTGCTGGAAGGACGATGCATTCAGGGGAATGTTTTGAAACAAACACCTCAGGAGTTGCTGGATTTAACCCGACAGCGCCCTTTGCAAACAAAACATTTCCACCCTCTTGTGTCTATGTACATTTTTCTAATTCATGACTATGGATCATGGATGGCCGCTGTAACACTGCTGACCCACTGACCTTGTAGAGAGCGTCGACCTTCTCCTGACACTTGATGTAGTCTTCATAGTCTGCAAACACTTTAAACCTGCAGCACAGGCGTTCAGCAGTGTTAGCAGTGCTAACATTAAGCAGACAGCTTGGATTCATGACAGGGACCTGTGTTACCTGTCGTGGTGCATCAGCATGTTGACCAGATCCTTGAAAAGACCAGGCTGGTCGGGGCTGAAGAAGCCTCCTGATATTTGATCCATCGCCTGCTTCAGCTCCGGAATGCGGTTGTAATAAGAGGCGGCATCATAGCTGAGGGGGAGAAACAAACAAAAAGCTTACCGTCATATGGACAGGTCCAAGATACCTTCATCTTCCTCACAATACAGGTTAACAGAGGGACCAGGACATAGTCATTCCAAAAAACTTTGGACTTTGTTTCCAAGTTTGAAGACGTTTCGCTTCCCATCCACGAAGCTTTTTTAATCCAAAGTGTCGGAAATAGGGTTGAGTTTGAGGTTTTTGGAATGTTTCCAACTAAACAACTTAGGTTACATTAGGTCTGATTTATTTTCAGTGTAAATAAAAAGATAAAAAGCTTATGCTAACTGGATGCTAATGTGTTTTAAATGTTATTTACAAACTGTATTCCAGTAAAGC